TCAGTAGTTGTAGTAGTAGCAGTAGTTGTGGTAGTAGTATCAGTAGTTGTAGTAGTAGCAGCAGCAGTAGTTGTAGTAGTAGCAGCAGCAGTAGTTGTAGTAGTAGTATCAGTAGTTGTAGTAGTAGCAGCAGCAGTAGTTGTAGTAGTATTATCCGTAGTTGTAGTAGTAGTATCAGTAGTCGTAGTAGTAGTAGCAGCAGCAGTAGTTGTAGTAGCAGCAGCAGTAGTTGTAGTAGCAGCAGCAGTAGTTGTAGTAGCAGCAGCAGCAGCAGTAGAAGTAGTAGCAGCAGTAGTAGTAACGAGAGTTATTCTAGTGACGTTGTTGTTGGTTTAGTTTCATTTACTTATTGTCAGCTGTCTCTATTTTTAATTGATGGACAGACAGCTGTTACTGTGTTACATCGTTCTTATCAATTTACGTCTTCACCCAAGTAGTCTTCCTACTTGTGTAGTATTTTAGATTTAGTATAAATCCTAGAAATGATGTTTTAGTGGTGGTAGTAACAGTCGAGAAAGTAGAAGCTGCGGCTGGAACAGTGGTAGTTGTAGCCGCAGTAGTAACCGTCTATGTTGTCTTTTCGAAATTCAAATGTTTATTTTGGTTATTTGTACTTATGTAGTATTCAGTTACTTATAATACTTCTGGTCATAAAAGATTTCAGTAGTTGCAATAGTAGTAGTAACTGAGGTAGTAGTAGTAGTAGTAGTAGTAGTAGTAGCAGCAGTAGCAGCAGTAGTAGCAGCAGTTGGAGTGCTAGTATTAGTTGTAGTACAAAGATGGGAGTGAGATTTTGAATTTAATAACGGCGTGCATTAAGCCTGGATATTTTTGTATCAACATAATATCAAGTTGATGATGTTGAATTCTCTTTCATCTTTTCTCATCGTCGTCGTCATCGTCATCATCACACATATCATCATCAGTATCTTTGTTAGTATCATGGTTTTCATCATCAGTATCTTTGATAGTATCATAGTTTTCATCATCAGTATCTTTGCTAGTATCATGTTTCTCATCATCAGTATTTTTGCTGGTATCATGGTTTTCATCATCAGTATCTCGGTTAGTATCATGGTTTTCATCATCAGTATCTTTGCTAGTATCATGGTTCTCATCATCAGTATCTATGCTGGTATCATCATTTTCATGATTGCTACAGGAATCCTAACAAGCACCTTGTTCACATTCAGAGGGCGAACGTGCCACAACGGAAAGTTGACCCTGCAGTGCCCTCTCGACACGTCCATCTCGATAAGGTTGACCCCTGGGGTTGACCTTTCTGTGTATCATTATCATTATTATTGTTGTTTTTGACATTATTATTATATATGACGTTGACTTTGTTAACATTCTTCAATCATCATAATCATAATCGTCTGTATAATGTTTATCATCATCGCCACCATCACCACCACCATCATCACCATCATCATCACCACTATCATCACCACTATCATCACCACCATCATCACCACCATCATCATCATTATCATAACTCGATAAGGTGGGCCCAATATGGCCGACTCAGTTCCGATGAATACTTGTGCGGAACCGACTGGACCGAAATCACCAAAGATCAAAAATACGATAATGCCACTACTACCACCAGGAATAAAAATAATAATAATTATTATGTTGATAATAATATTAATAATAGTAATAATAATAATAATAATAATGTTGGTGTTGGTAACGCCAGCAGGCATCACAAATTTAAAAGTAAGAATAAAAATGGCGATAATAATAATAATGATAGTATTAGTAATAATAATAATGATAGTAATGATGATGATAGTAATGATGATGATTTTGGTGATGATGATGATGATGACGACGACGGTGACGCAGGAAGCGGCGAAAAAACTCGAAAAAAAAAATTTAAGATGAGAAGGTCGGCGCTACATAAATCAAAAACCGGAAGTGGCAATTTGAAAAGGTTCAAACGTCAAAATACGCACAGGCATCAGTATCAACAATACCAACAAGATCATCATCATCATAACCAACAAGATCATCATCATAATCAGCACCAACATCACTATCGTTATCAAAACGCCTACCCGGTTTTTACTGGTCACGAGGGCGAGAATGAGTGCCTGGCATCTTCATCATTACAAGTATGTGTGTGTGTGCGTGCGTGTGTGCGCGCGCGCGTGTGTGTGGTAAATGTTTTTGTGTGTGTATATATATATATATATGCAGACGTGCAAATGAATCTCGACTAAAATATGATTTAATAAATGATGAATACATATCACGGCTATTCTTCGTTGTAAACAAAGTTAAATTATTATAAATAGACACACAATTAATTGTAAATGTGTGTGTGTTTGTGTGTGTGTGTCTGTGTGTGCGTGTATGTGTGTGTGTGTATTACTAAAATTTGTTAATTTTAGCTGTAGTTATAAAAAAGTCTTTTTATAAATTTTTAATGCATTGCAAATTGGAACGAACTCTAAAATCCGCTAAAATTTTTAAACACAAAATGTCGGTATGCATGTGTGTATGTTTGTGTGTGTTTGTATATGTATGGGTGTGTATGTGTGTGTGTGGTGTATGTGTGTGGTGTGTGTGTATGTGTGTGGTATGTGTGCGTGATTGGTACATGCTTTCTGTTGATAAAATGATGATAAAACTTAGATCGGGGTATTATCAAGTATTGCTTATAATTCTTATCATAACAACAACTACAATAACAACAACAACTACAATAACAACAACAACTACAATAACAACAACAACTACAATAACAACAACAACTACAATAACAACAACAACTACAATAACAACAACAACAATAATGATAATAATAATAACAATAAAAAAAATTATAATAATTGTGTTATCTACGTAATTCATCATCTCTGCGTGTATATTTAAAAAAAATTTCTTTTCATTATCAACAAATAACATAAATTATATTTATTATTATTGTCATTACTACATTATATTATTATTATTATTTATTATTATTATTATTTATTATTATTATTATTATTATTATTATTATTAGCGAGGATGAAGGGGTGGTAAATACTTGAGCCTTCCAGTTCAAGGATTTAATGTTTGTTGTTGTTAATATTATTATTATTATTATTATTGTTATTATTATTATTATTATGTGTTTGTGTACATATGTGTGTGTAGGTGTGTTATTATTATTATTTTTTATTATTATTGTTATTTTTATTATTATTACTTCTCTTATTACGATTACAGCCATCACTTCAAGTGCTGTGGTGGGCTAATCATACATTTTCCCAGGTCGATGTATATAACACGAATTCACACGCATAATTAGATGAATGTGTGTGTGTGTGTGTGTTTGTGTGTATATGTGTGCGTATCTCTGTTTGTGCGTGTACATGTGTACATTCCTATGTATGTATGTGTGTATGTATGTATCTTAAACAATAGGAGTGATAGATAAAGTTAAATCATTCCTATTGAGAAAAGGCTTGAACTTGTTGTACAACTCTTTGTTGTACACTCCGCTGGTAACCTACTGCAACACAGTCTAAGCAACACCCCATCACATAACCACAAAGCCGATAGAACTCTTCATGAAAAGAGCCATTAGAATCATAACTGGATCGACACGACTCGACTACAGTCAATGGTTATTCAACATGACACGAAATCTAAATTTCTCGATACTGAGTGATTAGTTTAAAATGATTTTCGCGTGTGAGAAATCCACAAACGGGTTGCCTGAATTATTTTGGAATTATTTCAAAATCAAAGAGCAACCTCTAAGACAAAATAATCTCGTCTCCAACAAATCAAAAACCAGCATCACGTCCTCACATGTTTAGTGCAAAGAACCGACCAGGAAAACTTGGAAAGAAATGGTGAACAGCGTTTTCAGCGTCGAATTTAACTAATTAAATAATTTTAACTTTATTTCTTAATTTACTTATTTAATAATTTACTTAATTTCCTGTAACGATGAAAATTCTATTTACAATTTTCATATTTTATTTTGTCATGTATCGACAGGTAAAAGCTGTGTCTTGCTTTCACTCAGGTTTGATCCATTCTGCTTTATGAACTGCATGGAAACAATACGCTCGACATTCTTTGATGAAGACAAGAGATTTGAGATCAGTTGATATTTACTGTTTATTTATTATCAGGAGACTGCTTTCCAACAAAAGTGTAACAACTGCATGTTTGAAAATTTAAAAAAATATCCAAGGCGCAAACACAAATTGATGAAAAATGTCAAAAATGGAATAAAAAGATGGATATATTGCTTAAAAATTCTCGTTGGAATAACGTCACTGATGAACGACTTAGAGGATGAACTGAGAACCAACTTGTTGAAATCATCACCAGAACAACGAACATAACAAACTTGCTGGGTCCAAGCTGCAAGAAAGAAAGGAAGCTGGCCAAGGATTTGCATATTTTTTTTACCTTTTAATCTTTTCATCAAAATACAATGAAAATTAAAATCAACTAAGTTTATTAAAGTATGTATGTATGTATGTATATATATATGTATGTATGTATGTATGTATGTATGTATGCTTGTTTGCACGTATGTATGTACGTATGTATTTTTACGTGCCCTCGGCCTTTTGTAACTTTATCCAAAAACGAAGAAAATTAAAATTAATTTATTGAGACGTACATCTCATGTTTCGCATTTGATAAACTGGATAAATAACAATTTTATGTTAATAATAAATAAATAAAAAATATAAATAACTGATAAATAAAAATTTATGTTAATAATTATAACAATAATATTAATAATAACAATAGTAATAATAATAACAATAATAATAATAATAATAATTACAGGTAGTGAGAGAGACGTGTGATAGCAAGCAGAAATGCAGACTTCGCGCGACTGATGAATTTTTTAAGGAGAGTCCGTGTGCCCACAGTCAGCTGAATGTGGAATATCTCTGTATTCCTGGTTGGTTGGTTGGCTGCTGGTTGGTTGGTTGCTGGTTTGTTGGTTGGCTGGTTGGTTGGTTGCTGGTTGGTTGGTTGGTTGGCTGGTTGGTTGGTTGGTTGGTTGGTTGGTTTGTTGGTTTGTTGGTTTGTTTGTTGGTTGGTTGGTTGGTTTGTTGGTTGGTTGGCTGGTTTGTTTGTTGGATGGTTGGTTTGTTGTTTGGTTTGTTGCTAGGTTGTTTGGTTAATTGGCTATTATTTTTCCAATTAACAATGGGTCAGTACTTGTTAATTTGCTAGTATTTAATCAATCAAAAATCTGTTAGCCAAACAACCAACCAATCAAACAACAAATTAACCAACCAATCAACCAACCAATCACAGAATTTCACACAAAACTGGTAACATGTTTCGGCATGGAGATGACCATTCAGTGTCCACGGTCACTCAAAATATTTGTCTTCGCCGCAGCATATGGGTATAAGTGGCCCGGAGAAGCACTATGCTATACCGAAACGCATCACCTCGGTTACGATAACGGTTTGTCGGTTTCGGTTATAATTTCTCTTGGCGGGTTTGTCAGTGTGTGTGTTTGTGTGTGCGTAGGAATGTGCATACATGTGTGTTTGTGTGTCTTTTTTGTGCGGTTCTAATACACCATCATCTACATCCTGATTAGCTTTGTTGTTGTTGTTATTATTATTATTATTACTGAAACCACAGATTGCGTGTCGCTGTGTTCAACGTACGTTGTCGCTAGTCGCTGCCACGGCCGAAAAACTTGCACGGTTTTTGTCGATTCGAATACTTTTGGCCAGCCCTGTAGAACCGGTACTCAACCGTATTTAACCGTCCACTATTCGTGTGGTTAGTTGGCCATTTATGCATCTAAATTATCATTTTAAAAATAAATGTTTATATAATTAATAGTTTAGGGTCGAATCAATCAGTCATTTATCATTTCGTTTATTCTGCCATCATTCGTTCGTTCGTTCATTCATTCATTCATTCATTTATTAAATTTGTTGGTTTTTCTTTTGTCTATTTGTTCATTTTTTCATTTAAGCATTCATCTATTCGTTAATTCATTTATCAATTAATCAATTTATTAATTCATATATTTAGTCAATTATTATTCATCCACGTATCTATCCATCCATTTATCCATTCGTTCGTTCATTCATTCGTTCATTCATTCGTTCATTCATTCATTCTTTCCTTCATTCATCCATCTATCTACCAATCATTTTCAGTGCCTTCAAAAATTTTGAAAAAAGCTCTGTCTAAGGAAGACTTCCCGTATACAAACTGCCAGAATTTAGTAACCAGTGCCAACCGGACCAAACCGGAAATAGATTACTTCGATCCATTTTTCGATACCGACGCACCGACACCGACAGGTTAATATCCGATCGATTAAATTTGATTTTTTTTTCTTGAAAATTTGTCAATTATTAACGCTTTCAAGAGTATATGCATAAGCATGCATGTTTGTAAATACAGCTTTATATTCTTTAGTGAACGATAAACACTTATATACTAGTTATCATATCGCCACTAATTAACCAATCAATCAAACAATCAATCATTCGCTCCTTCAATCATTCATTCAATCAATTACTCCTTTATTCATTCCTCATTCATTCATTCGACCAATCACAAAAATCATTCCCAGCACAAGCCGTTAACAAAACCACCCCTTACGGACCTCTGCTGGTCGGGTTCGATCCCAGAGTCTTCCACCACTGGATGTCTGCTAAGGATTTCATGAAAAGTATGTGGTAGTAGCAGCAGCAACAACAGCAGCATCAGCAGTAGCAGTAATAGTAGTGGTAGTGGTAGTAGAAGTAGTAGTAGTAGTAGTAGTAGTAGTAGTAGTAGTAGTAGTAGTAGTAGTAGTAGTAGTAGTAGTGGTGGTGGTGGTTATAGTAGTAGTAACGATACCAAAAATAATAAAGATATTAATTATTAAAACTATAATATAAATTATGAAATAAATAATTATTACAAACAAAAACAGACAATCTAGAGAGGTTAGCACTCTACGGCGTGATTGGTGCTCTCGTGGGATTCTGCCTTCTCCTCCTTGTCATCATCTTCAAACTCTACATCGTCATTTCCGGTTTCAGACGCATCTCATCCGCAGCGTCCATGCACTACGCCACCGTGCCGCCGGCCGGAGTGGGGCTGTTAGATAGACCATATCCGGACCGCCAGATTAGGGATTATCCGGCCAAGATTAGGAACGATGAAGTTGATTATAGAAAACTTTTTGGAAAGGGTTATTACTTTGGCAGTAGTTCGGAGATACTTGCTAAGCTTAAAATGGGTGAACGTAGGTCGGCTGTCAGTGCTACAACAGCAACTACTACAGTTACTACTCCAGCTATTGTAACTGCCGTTACTACAACTGCTGCAACGACTGCTGCTGCCGTTGGCGCAGCTGCTTCTACTACTACCTTAATTTTTTCAGCTGCTGAGTTGGCCACAAAAACCATCATTGCAATAGCTACACCGGGCGGATTTAAGGTGTCAGCAACGGCAGTGTCACCGGTAACAACAACGTCGTCGCCGTTATCGTCAGCAGCGACGACAGCAACCACATCTCCGAAACAAACGCAACCGGAAAAGTATCGTTTCGGTATCGGTCGGAAACGTTTCGCGACGCAGACAGACCGCGCGGAAGACAGCGTCTACGACAACGTTGAATCGCTGCTGACGCCGGAGATTCCGCGCAGACTCGTCATACCTCCTATCTTGTCGGATGAAGGACTCAACGCTCCCAGCTTCCTGGCTCAGGATGACGACAGTCCCGTCTTCGTACACGTGGAATCCCCCAGGGAAAGCCCGCTACTTCGGAACGGGGATAGCAACGGAGAGGATCCGGGCGATAAAACAGTTGTGACGTCACCGGCCTCGTTTGTTGGCAGTGGTGAGGCTGTGGTCGGTAGTGGTTTTGTTGTTGCTGCTGATGTTGAAGATGAGGGTAGGCGGTGGTTGCAGCAGCAGCAACATCGGCAACGATTGAAACAGCAACAACAACAACAGCAACAGCAGCAGCAACAACAACAACAACAACAACATCCAGAAGATGTAGAAACAATTGTATCTCCTCGTTTTAGCCTGCCGAGAAAAAAAAAAATTAAAGACTCAGCCGAGGTAGACATCGGTAGAATTATACTCGATACCACAATACCGTCGATAAGCATACCACACTCAACTACTCACGATCCAGAGCATCCATGTCCACCAGCCTCTTATGAAATAGGCCAACAACCAACACAACAAGATAATAAAACACAACAACAAATTCAAGCAGCTCTTCAGCAGCAGCAACAATTACAACAACAACAACATTTACAACAACAACAACATTTACAACAACAACAACATTTACAACAACAATTACAACAACAACAACAATTACAACAACAACAACAAGTACAGCAACAACAACTGCAGCAGCAACAACAACAACATGGGTCAGTTCGTCAAACGTTTGCATACTCAACTCAGATACAATATTCGCAACAGTTGTCGCCGAGACAGCAGCAGCAACAGCCACAGCTACAAAAAACATACATCGCCCCACTGCATCCACGATCAATCACATCAACAACATTAACAACGACCACATCAGCAACACTACCATCAATCCACATAATCCTACCGTCACCAACTGCCTCAACGCCGACCTATAGATCTTTCCCAACTTCACCACAGCCACAACGACCACTCTCGTCGCAACCACCAACAACCACAGCAACCGCAACGACCACAAACGTGCCTAAAATTCGAAAACTTTACGAGTTTGATACGTCATCGTCACCTCCGTTTACGTCATCAACGAAACTGTTGCCAACTTTTACAACGTTGTTACGGCCAGGTAGTTTTAGCAACGTTCACAGGCGTGAGCCACATCTCAATGTCAGGAAATCCAAACTACAGCCACAACAGCGTCCACAGTCGCATTACTTTAAATGAATGCCTGTGAAGTGATGGATGGAAAGTTCGACGAACGAATGAATGGATGGATGGATGGGTGGATGGATGGATGGATGAATGGATGGATGGATGGATGGATGGATGTATGGATAGATGGATGGGTGGGTGGGTGGATGGATGGATGGATGGATGGATGGATGGATGGATGGGTGAGTGGATGGATGGGTGGGTGGGTGGATGGATGGATGGATGGATGGATGGATGGGTGGGTGGATGGATGAATGGATGGATGGATGGATGGATGGATGAATGGATGGATGGATGGATGGATGGATGGATGGGTGGGTGGGTGGATGGATGGATGGATGGATGGATGGATGGATGAATGGATGGATGGGTGGGTGGATGGATGGGTGGGTGGATGGATGGATGGATGGATGGGTGGATGGATGGTAGGATGAATGAATGGATGGATGGATGGATGGGTGGGTGGATGGATGGATGGATGGATGAATAATAGATGAACAAATGAATGAATGAATGAATAAATATAAATGAATTATTGGATGATTGAATGAATAAAAATGAAAATATAACTGAACGAATGAACAAACGAATGAACAAACACAAGAACAAACAAATAAACACACAAACAAACAAACACACAAACAAATAAGTTGATACATATACAAACAGGAAAATATAGGTTAAATAAGACCAATTAGAAAGCTCACGGCATCAATAATAATCATAATAACTAATAATTCCTTAAATAAACTCAGGTTTTAATAATTTTCTTACCAATTTTAAAACCAAATTAAAGCAAATGATACCGTATCATTTGCTATCAGAACTGAATGATACTATATCAATTGCTATCAGAACTAAATGATACTCTATCATTTATCACAAATGTAGATTAGGTAATGCGAAATATTAAATGTAATTTAAATGTAGCTCTTCAAAAAATATTTAAATATATAAATGTTAACGTGACCCTATTTTCGAATCGTCAACATCATCTTCATCGTCATCATCATCATCGCCATCATTCTTCTATTATTTCTAATATTATTATTATTATTATTATTATTGTTGTTGTTGTTATTATTATTATTATTATTATTATTATTATTATTATTAGTAGTAGTAGTAGTAGTAGTAGTAGTAGTAGTAGTAGTAGTAGTAGTAGTAGTAGTAGTAGCATTATCATCCTCACAACGTCCTATACCTTGTTATTTGCTCTTAAAATTTAAACGACAAAATATACATACTTAAATACATACATACAAACAAACAAACATACATACATACACGCATACATACATACAAACAAACTAACATACATACATACATACATAGAATATAAGTTATTTTTATGTTTGTTTTACCGTTTTTAAATGTTTTTAAATTGTATTAATTACATATACATATACATGTGCGTATGTATATATATATATATATATATATATATATATATATATATATTTATTTATTTATTTATATATACAATGTTTTTTATTTGTATATCGACACAGCTGCATATATTATTTTGGATGTTAGCCACATTTTTTTCGCGATCTTCGTCATCGTCATTATCATCATCGTCATTATCATCCTCATCATTTCTCTTATATATTATCATCATACTCATCATTTTTGTCATATCCTATTCATAATCTTTTCTGCTCTACAATCTTCATCATGTTTTTTAATTATTTTCACGATAATTATAGTTATAATTAGAAAAATTATTATTTTTGTTGTTAATATTATTTTTATATGTATTACGTCATCATCCCCGTTACATTTTTATTGTTATTTTTATGCATGACGTCATGGGTGTGTTTTCTTTTGTGTTTTTTTTATGATCAAATAAAATTGTTTATATTTAATTTACGAAATTCTTTGTCATTTCTGAATTGCATATTCGTAATTATATAGCGTTTTTTTTGTTCGTTTTAATTTTAAAATTTTAGTGGGCTGTCTATGAAGGGTGTGCCACGTTCTGAGGAACGAGGAGGTCACAAAAAATTTGTGACCCTATCTGGCAGGGTTAGAGGTGGGGTCAAGAAAAGACTTTGAAGCGTGACTTTCTTCATGGATAGTCCGTTATTCGTTAATTTAGTGCTTTCTAATTGTTTGAAGTATCAAATTTTCTGCTTAATAAATGTGCCTACTCTCCGTTGTGAGGTCAGAATTTCTATGCGTGCCATATTATATTATTAAGTATTATTCAAATGCACACATACACAATAAATATTCATCCATCTATTCATCCATCCATTCATCCATCCATCCATGCATTCATCCATCCATACATCCATACATCAACTCATTACTTTGTTCATTAATTCATAATTCATTCAATCATTAAGTTTTCACTATACGTTAGTCCAGCCCTATTTTTTATTAAAAAAATTTTCAAAAATTTGTTGAAAATTTTAAAAAAATTGAAAAATTATGTAATTTGAGATATTCAAAATTTGATGCTTCGTAGAACAAACACAAATAGAAGTTAGTCATGATAATATGTTGTTTCACCAGTTAGCTCAAACGGTAGAAATGTCATGTGGCCTGGTTTGAATGCAGTCCGCTCCAAACTCTAAGACTGGCGTGCATACAAAATGTGAATATGTGGAGTGGTGTGTGTATACATCGTGTGGTGTCTGTACGTCGTGTGGTGTGTATTACGGTACGTCGTGTGGTGTGTATTACGGTACGTCGTGTGGTGTGGAATCTTAGAATCTCATATTCCATATCAACTATACTAGGGCTTATACCATACTAATAAATAAATTAGATTTTTTTCAAATATTAGCTCATCCTTATTTTAAATAAAAATTAACTTTTCGTTTTTTGTGTAGGTCAAATTTTTTAATTAAATGCTAAATAAATTGCTTAAAATGTCGTTTTTGTTTCGTCGCGTTACGACGGTTTCCACTTATCAGAGTATAAATTTGTGTTTTTTTTAAATCTATTAATATGTATTTTATATCCTAAAATTTTATTTTTTTTAGTCCTGTTTAGAAGTTAAGTATTTAAGTTTAGCTTTAGTTAGAGAGAGACTTTAGTAGTTTAGTTAGAGTAGAAGTAGAGTTAGCTGTTAGTTAGACTTAGATTAGATTAGAGAGTGTTTCTGTTTTTATATTTTTTAAAATTTTTAATAATAAAATATTATTTTTCAATTTTAATAATAAAATAATCATATAATGATAATCTAAAAATCATTAATTGCTAATCTGTTGGCCCTGCACTGACTAGGAATAAAATAAGTGTGTGTGTGTGTGTGTTTGTGTGTGTATGTGTGTGTATGTGTGTGTGTGTGTGTGTGTGTGTGTGTGTGTGTGTGTGTGTGTGTGTGTGTGTGTGTGCAATCATATGCAATCACTTTTTCATTTAATTTATTTTTATCATTAATCATTAATCTTAGTGTAACTCATGTAACCTGTAATTCGTTATTACATACTACTCTTCCCTATCTTACTATTATTTTATTTATTTATTATTGATCCTTTTAATTAATTTAAATAGGACGTAATCATATTTTATTTTAACAGATTGTCGTCTGCCTAAATATAGCTTGTTTTCCTAATTAAGTTATCTTTCTTACCTTTACCTACCTACCCTAGTAACTTACTTAACTATTGATCAGAAAAAAAAATTTCAGCTTAATCATACTTTGTTTATGAAGTATTATATTGACCTTTTTATTATTAATGTTGCTTTTCATTGTCATTTCTGTCAATTTGTCTTATTATTATTATTATTATTATAATTTTTGTTATTACTGTTATTATTATTAAATAATTTAGTTCCAATGTTTAAGGCATGTGTATTACATAGAGTCATTCATCATAGCTTGGCATTCAATGATGTTACACTGAACAATGCACACACACACACACACACACACACACGGCCTTACACACAGCCACACATAAACACACATACACACACACAGCCAACTTTAAGGTTAATTTTGGCAGATGTTCATAAGGCATTAACCTCAATATAAGTTTGATTTTAATATTTTCACTTATTCATAATAATTGCTCTTTAGTTTAATTTTTAGATCAAAAAATTTATGGAGACCAGAGTTAAGCCACATATAAAAACCACTGTGAAGGCCCTTATTATATATATATGTGTGTGTGTGTGTGTGTGTGTTCGTACGTGTATGTTTGTTTATGTGTGCATGTGCTTATGTAAACAGATAAAATAAACCATGATCAAAAAATGTGCATACTTGTTTACATACCTATCCATATGTTTATGTAGATTTTTTTCCTATTCCTCTCTCATTATCTATGTTTGTGTGTGTGGTGGCATGTGTGTGTGTGTGTGGGGGTGTGGTGGCGTGTATGTAGAATCCCACAAAAAAAAACCTCCATTAAACGCACCTTCCACTAAACAACATTTTCTAAAAAAAAATAAAAAACATTTTTCAGGCCAAACATACCCAGCCCAACTGCACATACAAGCCACATTTGAAACTAGAGATTAATGTTAACCTTTTTTTACGATGATCACCGCCCATAGAACAAGTGCTCATTAGCTGGCACAGATGCATACATAAATTATAATTTAATGACTTTTTCTTCGTTCCTAACCTTAACTAAAAACATCTAGATCTAGTGCTTTATGTGAATTTGTAAGTAGATATATATACACACGCGCGCGCGCACACACATATATTTATATACACATACACACATACATATATATACATAAACGCACGCACGCATACTTATATAATGTGTGCCACATACACAGGTAATGAAAGTCCAGGCAATTAAGCTTACTATTATACAACGAACAGGATCGTCATTCATAACAGTGCATATTAAAATAGGGCATTTTTAATTTTCAGATGCAGCAAAAGCCATCACTCCGGTGGCTAACGAAACTTCCAGGCGTTTCAAGTCCTCCACAACTAACAGCGGAAGTGGATCCGACGATGCGGACGTCCATGGCAAAACTCAGAAACTGAGAAAAGCCAAGACGCCGGTCGGCTGTCTGGACGATAAATGGGAGAGCAAAAATGAAGAGATGGAACCCAAAATCGTCAACGATCCTTATTCTCCATTTCCGGACGCGAAGAACCCACTTACGGGAGAGATAGGGGGCCCAAGAGGTCCCGAGCCGACGAGGTACGGTGATTGGGAGAGGAAGGGCAGGGTTATCGACTTCTGAATGAAGAGAGCGCTCTTTAAATTTAAATTTTCAATTTTTTGTGTGAATGGTCGATTCATGCTGTAATTAAACACTTCAGTTTTTCTCATTTTTTGAAGTTCCATATGTTGAAATCACTGACAGATGCGCAACACAATTATTAACAGTTCTGAAATTTCTAAGTTATTCGTTAATTTATTAACTGGGCTTTGTTTTTTTTCGGTGTTATCTTTTAATTAAAATAAATCGAAGTGAACGAATCAAAATTCTACTGTTTATGGTTAATGCATACTGACACGTATTCATTTAAATGTATTGTATTGTGTTATTAGTCAAAAATGTTGTTCAATCCTGTCAAGTGTTGTTTCACTTCATCTGTACATAAATACACGCACACACGCACGCACAGAATATACACACGCAATCTATAAATAATAAATGTTGTCGTTAGCATTAGAGCACGAATTCGAATTAAATGGTTTTTGGATGAGCCAACAAAAATCTCAAATTGATCGGAGCTTTCAAAAAAAATAAGAACACAAAAGCGTTGAACTCAACTGGAGAGGATGCGTGGAATTCTCCAAAGTGCCTGCTTCCTATTATAAGTCTGCCACACGAGCAGAAACTCTTAATGCGATAGAAATGTGATGCAATAACTGTCACCGCACTAACTGACTTTTTCACATCGTGCCACCAATTTAATGACCACTTTATTCTTCCGTCGAATAAAAACAATGTATACGAATACGTGCATATTAAGCAGGTACGTACATACATGCACACATACATACACGCATACACACGTGCACCAAAACATAAATAAAATACATACCTAGGGTTTTTTATACTATGCCCTACTTACATGCATGCATAATGATTCGCCGCAAAAATAAAAACACGCAAACACTCGTGCGTGTGTACGCAGCTAACCTTGTTTCGCTCTTTTTGTAAGTGTTATATATTTATACAAACTTTTGGTCAAATGCATTTAGACACGTACAATGCATTTAGACACGTACACACACACTCTCTCTTCTCTCTCTCTCTTTCTCTAAACATCTGAAGAGCATAATCATGCATAATTCGGCTCTTCACAATATACACACTCGCGTATAAGCATGCATCTATCGTTACGTTTGCGGCCCTGTATATACGCTACTATATTTTCACGAGCGTACCTTAAGTTTAACGATCACACTCGTACACTCCGTTGGTGAGTGAGAGGTTTGTACAGAAAATTATTATGCAAATATTTATTACTATTGATGAGTAAATAATGCTCACGTGATTTGTGTAGTCACGGACAGATACATACGCGCACACAAACACATACATACATACACGCATACATATATACATACACGCATTCATTCAAACATAGGTACGCACAGAAACTCATCTTATTATAAGGATGTGCATACATGCAGAGCACGTGCTTAAACATTACGTATATCTACTTACACGTAACCTTACAAACACGTAACCTTACAAACACGCAACCTTACAAACACGCACGTGACGTATACACACACGCACACACACAGACACACACACACAGAGAGTCAAGTGCGTACTTAAATAAGCACGTACGCACATGCCTTCGTTCTGATCGTCGTAAATATAGAAGCGGTTTATACAACGGCATAGTGGTTGGTTCAACATCCTGGGCTTAGCTACGAATCAGGTCAAAATTAAAAAATAACTCTCTCGTTTATTCAGGACGAAGTTCTTGTACAGTTAAGGAAACTTTTCAGTAAATATGTATATGATATAGGCAGCCAAATGAATAATTAAACGAATGAATAAATGAAGAGTTTTATATAATATAATGTTGGTTGTAAAGTGTAGAGGAGGTGTATTAAATAATAATTTGTAATACGATTAGATGGAATGCCGATAAATTTGTTTGGGTTTGGTTTTGTGTGTGAGTGTGTGTGAGTGTGTGTGTGTCTCGTATGCACGCATGTACAATACAAAACACGCATTTAAGATTTAAGACAACGATTTCAAAAGCACGTCTCAAAAAACGCTCTGGTGACGTAAAATAAATGTACAATCGGATAACAAAATTAATATTTGTTCATTTATAATAGGTATGTGTATGTATACATATATATGTATATATAATTATACACACACACACATTCACATACACACACACACATATATATATAATATATACATAAATATAAACATTTCCTAGATATGAATGAAAGTGAAAAATTCTACTATATACATATAAATGACTTAGCTATCTACACATACATACATACAAGCAAATATGTATACGTACAAACATACACACATATACATACATACATACATAAATAAAGCCAGATTGATGACTGTCAGAAGTGAATTGGGTTCTGCTTGGCTAAGGGCTATTCCCAGTACGGCATGTTTTACAAAGCTTGACAATGCTTCTATGCTTGAGACTTGGGTTGCTGGTAGCGTCGAGTTAAAGATGCTTGTATGGAGCCGATGTTTCTCAACTGGGCCACCATGGCCTATCATGTAAGATGGGCTCAAGTAGACATGAATGATTAAGGCATTCTGCCATGAATGATTACATATGTAGATTGTATTTTTAATGGCAGATACACTGCCATTAAAAAAACCAGCAGGCTAACTATCTGAAGGTAATCAAAGGCTAGACGGTTTCACCTTGGTGCCCTGGTACCATGGTTGCTGTTTATCCTGGAATGTGGTGACGTCCTCTCATACATTGGCCGAGAGGTACATCAATAACGCGTCTATGGAGCTTCATGTTCTGCTGCAGTGAAAGCTGCCGATTTTAAGAACGCTAATTACAAGAATCTCGACGACAATACGACATTTTTTGATAACATAGGTACTAAAATAGTTAATAAATCCGGAGATCCAAATTTATATAAAACAAAATATATTGTTGATGTTGCAAAAGTATAATTCAAAAGTATTTTAGAGAATACTGCTAAGTGCCTTTCTGTGCCAGACCCCAGACATTAATATAAACTGTTGAGCAGGGGCGAAATGATTGTTTTTATAGCTTTTGTTTTTAACCACAGGCTCGCTCATACATTCCCACACACATACACACATACATACATACATACATTAAATTCATACGAACCAATAGTTATGTAGCTACACGGTGAAGTGAGTGATGCATATAATTTATATTTCACAAAATATGTGATCCTAAATACACGCTCATATAAATATATAAATAAATAAATATATATATATATATAAACGTATTCACAAATGTATATATACATATATATAATACATATATTATTTATAAAATAGAATGTAACATTATGCAACTCGTATGAGCATATAAAATGATGTATTTATTGGTAGAGTGATCTAAAGGAAAGTTGACATTTGTGAAAGGTTAGAGATGCTTTTTTTTTGTTTTCGAACTTCGATGATTTATTTGAAAAGAAAGAATTCAGTATTTCTAGGGAAAGTAATTTAGTAGCATTAGTTAGCGATGTTTAGAAGTATAATGTGAAATTGTAATATGGTAGTATAATTAGTAGTTTAGTAACTTAAATTCGTCTATTTGATAATTATAGACAGATACTGAATAAATGTATGATTTTGTGTGTATGTTTGTGAGTTTGTATGTATGTTTGTGAGTTTGTATGTATGTTTGTTTGTGAGTTTGTATGTATGTTTGTTTGTGAGTTTGTATGTATATGTGTGTGTGTTTGCGTTTGTATGTATATTTTACGTTTGTATGTTTGTATTTATGTGTTTTTATGTATGCACGCTGGTATATGTTTTAATATATAATATAGCGTTTGCTTTTGTACTTGGCAAATGTTTTTCTGTATGTTTGTATGTCTGTATATATAGATATGTGCTTGTTTGTTTGTTTGTCTGCTTGTATGTTTGTATATATGTATGTATGTATATTTTCAGATGCACAGAACTGATAAGTTTATGTATATGAGTTTGTATTTTTGGTTTTTTGGTTTTATTTTAAAATGAAAGCCAAAAAACCCAGCAAGTAGATGCCCGTCGAGTCGAAAGTGGATTTCTCGTGTTTTTTTTTTCATTTTTTTCTTTCGTTCTTTAAATAAATTTATTCGATTTAATACTATTATTATTATTTAGTTATTTATTTGTTTAAAATTCTAAATTTTTTGACGTTTAAAAAAATCTCTGAAAGGAAAAACTTATTGAGGTTAGAATACAATACAATATTGAATATTCAATATTAAATATTAATTATTATAATATTACAATTAGCATTAGATTAGATTAGAAGAAGAGATTAGATTAGATTAGATTCGTTAGTAGAGACATTTTAATTAGAGAATTTGATTAATTAATTGATTAATTAAATAAAGTATTAAAATTAAATCCAAATTATTATTTAACATTTTAATTTAAGAATTAACTGTATAGTAGTGTATTGTAGATAGTGTATGTGTTGTATAGTAATCTTATTATTTAATTTAAAATCGCAAAACTAGTAAATTTGTAAAATAGTAGAAATTATTCTTTGTAAAAGTGAATAAATATTGTAATTATAAATATAATAGAAACAAAGTATTTATTTTATAAATTTATATAAATAAATACTTAAATTTAGTTTACTAAACTAAACTATACTATATATTTAATTAAATATTTTCTGGAGAAATTTATTTATTATTAATTATTGGTAAACTATACATAAGTATAACTCTAAAAAACTTTAAAATTTACATGTTATCAACACATCTCAAATCTGAAATCTCACTGTCTGATGCAATGTTTTTTAAATCAGGTTAATTAGGGATTAGTGATAGATGGTAAATCTATTTCATTTTTATTTATTTATTTGGCATATGTCATAGCACTACTTCTGCTATAGATGTCTTTGTCAGTTGTACTTATAATATAATCGTAGCGCCATATTATAATTGTATCTTATAATTGATTGGTTTAATAATATAGATAGGTTATGGTTATATGTATTTAATTATTCTAATTAATTAATTAATTAATTAATTAATGCTCAATGAAACCTTATTTTAAATTAATCATACCCATGCCTGTGTGAGTTCCATCTGCTACAATTTATAAACTTAATGATATACCAATGATGATATACACGAAATTTTTCACAAACTAACACTCATTAAGTTACGAATGCATTAAAAATTAATGTGTAGATTAGTAAAAAAACTGAATTTAGTGTGAAATTTCACTGAAATAATGTGCAAATATGTGAAAATTCTGATTCTAATATGAAAAAAAATTACAATCCGTAAAATGAAATTCAGAGGCATAGCTAGGGGGAGGGGGCGCCAAAATGAGGCAGACAAAATTATCACAACAGGAGTAAACTATGCAAATTATGCAAATTTAACAGTTACTGAATCATATGTACATATATACATATTCATACATACACACACACACGCATACAAACATACATACATTCATATTTTTAATATTATTATACTTCAATACTCAGTGTCAAAATATTAAAGGGTCATAGGTTAAATTTAAATTTCTACTTTTTAAAATTCTGGTTTCAACCACATGGATATATTT